GGGCCCCCCCCCTGGGGGTAGGAGGGCCCCCCCCTGCCGGGGAAGGGGCAGGGCCCCCCCCCCGAGGGATGAGGGCCCCCCCCTCCTGGGGAATGAAGGGCCCCCCCCCGGGGGAGGAAGGGCCCCCCCCCCGGGGAAAGCAGGCCCACCCCCGGGGGATTCGGGGCCCCACCCCCCTGGGATGCGGCGCCCCCCCCCCTGGGGGATGCGGGACCCCCCTCCTGGGGAATGCAGGGCCCACCCTCCCGGGGGATGCAGGGCCCACCCTCCTGGGGGATGCGGGGCCCACCTCCTGGGGGATGCGGGGCCCACCTCCTGGGGGATGCAGGGCCCACCCTCCTGGGGATGCAGGGCCGGTGCTCCGGAAGCCGCTCTCACCTCCATGGAGCTCTCAGAGTCCAGTGCATAGCTGTCCTCATGGGCCTTCACCTCTGCGTGGGCCTGACCCTCGAGCTGGGAGGCAGGGGAAAGTCAGGAGAAACGCCTGCCATGGCCCAGCCCTGCCTCCACGTGGGGACTGCCAGGCTGCGGCCCCTGCGCAGTGAGGCGGAGGCGGGGGCGGGGCTGGCGGGCCCTACCTTGGGGGGGTAGTGCAGGTTGAGGGACTGGTAGAGGCGGAAGTTGACGAAGCCCAGCAGGGTGGTGTAGAACTCGGTGAAGGTGGCCATGACCCTGTAGTCCACGTCTGTCGGGTGCTGGGGGCACAGGAGGCACGTCAGCAAGATGGACGCAAAGATGACACTGACAACCCACGCGAGGTGAGGAACCCTCCAGGGCAGCCCTACTCTGCCCCCCAGAAAGAGACTGTGGGACGTGTCCCCACCCAGGGGCATTCTGGGAACCAGTGAGGCACTGGACAGGGGTCCCAAGAGTTAGGGGTGTCTTGGAGGCCAGTGCCAGAACCCCAAGCCATGGAGGGGGAGCTAGGAGGAAGCAAAGGGAAGCCCTAGTCACGCTGTTCTCAGGACTGACAGGCAACCCCCCACCCCTCGCTTGGACTTGGGTCCTTGCAGAGGCTGGTCAGGGCTCACGCCTTCCTCATTGCCCACCCCACAGCCTCAGTTCAATTGTCTTCTCGGGGCCTCGCCCATGAGTGCCCGGGGGACAATATTCCCAGAGCCTGGCACCATCGCAGGCTCAGGTGGGGGCAGTGGGTGGACAGCACTCAGCAACTCGAAGCCCTGGCAGGAGCCTTGGGACAGACACTCAGAAATGAGTGGCCGGCCTCGGACCCAGCCAGGAACAAAGGCACAACCGGAAGATGCAGGACAGATCGGGGCAGCAGCCTCACAGCCCAGGGAGCCCTGGAGAAACGGTGGCAGGAAGCTGCTTGCTTCCGAGAGAGGCACAGGGTCACCCTCGTGAGCTGCCCACCCAGCGAGCAGGGGGCAGGGAGCAGGGGGCAGGGCAGGGCTCATCCTGGCCCTGGAGGAGAGGATCAAGCAGAACGGGGCAAGGATCTGGAAGCCAAACCAAAGAACCTCGGCCCCCGAGCACCACAGCACTGTCCCCCTCAACCAGGGAGGCTGGCCCCGCCCTGCGGGCCCCGGGCAGGAGGATGGGCCAAGCAATGTCAAAGGCGGTGACGATCACACATCTTTTGTGCTGGGCGTGCCTGTGACCTCGAGCTGTTTCTCCATCCTGCCAGCAGGCAGTGACCTGGCTGTGGGGGCGCGGGGGCCAGAGGTACCCCACCTGTGCCCACACTCACACCCCCGTTCCGAAAGCATCTGCAGGACCCCTGATGGGCCTGGCAAGCATCTGAGCACCAGCCCCATTTCCTACAGCACAGTGTGCAGTGGGGTCCCCACCTGCCTGGGTCTACCTGGAGGACCCAGCACCGGTCGCTTAGAGGAAGGGGGCACATCAGGGCCTCACCTACAACCCAGTACCGTCCTCCGTCCTCCTGCTGAGAGGAAGCAGCCAGCAGTGGGCTGCCCAGGGAGGAAGGAGGGACGGGGAGGAAGGAGGGATCGGCGGCTGTTCCCTTCCCCCAGGCCAGCTGGGCGGAGGCTGCCTCCACAGGGCCCTATTCACCGCTGGGCGACATACAAAGCCCAGTCTGAGCAGCACGGGGGTGGGACATCAGAGAGGAGGAAGGAGCAGGGGGCCAGAGAGGAAGGAGGGAAGGCAGAGTGGAGAAGGCAGGAAGGAAGGAGGAGGAGAGGAGGGGCAGAACAGGGGAGAGGAGAGACCCACGGTTCAGACCCCAGCAGCCACTAACTATTCATTCATCCCAAAGGGCACTTTGAAAAATTCTTTTCTGAAATCTCACAACAATGCGTAGGAAGTGGAAGCACATCATACAGAGCACAGAGCGCTGAAGGAGCGTGTTCAAGGCCAACCGGCTGGGGGTGCTGCAGCCAGGCTGGCTCGAGTTCTTATTACAACGCTGCGTTGCACCTTCCCTACCTGACCCCACACCCCAGCCAACACCTAGGAACCCAGCACGTGCTGGACTCCGCAGGACAGCAAAAGCCCCTCTTTGCTCGTGCCCTCATCTGTCTGGGAGCCAGAGGGAGAACCGCCCAGCACAAGCCCCTCCCCACAGGCACACTCACGTCGTGGGAGAAGGCATAGGGCGTGATCCACACGATGGGCTGCCCGAGCACCTCGGCCTGGTAGTAAATGCCTTTGATGGACAGGAAGACCTGGGAGGAGAGAGGGGGCAGCTTGGTGAAAACTACGGGGACGGCGAGGGAGAACAGGCGGGGCCCAGCCACGTGGCCCTTCGCTCACCTTGCGCAGGGCCCGGGCGGCGATGACGTAGTGCAGGAACTCCACCGTGAGCCTGCGGCACAGCTGAATGGTCTGCACGTGGCACTTGCCAGTCCGGGGGAACGTGGAGAAGAGGAAGCACATGGAGAGGGCGTCGTCCAGGTCCCGAAGGGCGTCGATGAAGGTGGGGTACCTGCGTGGCCGGAGGGCAGACGCTCAGGCTTGGTTACGTGCCACCCTGGAGGCCCCACCCCAAAGCGAGGCCTTGCCACGAAGGGGCCTGGCAGCACCAGCCTCCCACGGCCTTGGGAGGAACCAGGGAACCCAAACATGCCCACTTAGCTCTGAGGACCCGAGAAATCCTGATGGGGTCCCCCAGAACCCACTGCAAACCGAGGACTTGGACCACTTTCATATGTTGTGGTCAAAGAGGGCAGGCCAAGCCAATGGCTCTCTTTCTCAAGGTGGAAACTTCGGGTCAAAGGAAATCTATCTAGAGGTCCGGGACAGGAAGCAGAAAAATGTGGCGCTGCCTGGGTGGGCCACGGTGGAGGGTGGGGGCCACCCAGCTCGTGGGTGGCGGGGCTGCGGCGAGAATACCAGCTGTTGTGCTCCTAGCACGGCTCTTCCTGCACTAGCCCTTGGCTGGGCTGACTCAATGAAGGCAAGTCCATCGAGCCTGAGCTAAATGTTCCCGGGCAATTAGCCCCCGAGAGAGGATGGTCGTTCATTGAGCCCAAGGTTCCTGAATCTTATCACCATTAGCATTCGGGGCCAGGCTGTTACGTGTCATGGGGCTGTCCTGTGCACCGTGAGGTGTTTAGCAGCATCCCTGGCATCTACCCATTAAAAACCTGCAGACCCTCCCATCCAAGTCGTTCTTAAACCTGGTTAAGAACCACTGAGTTAGACAGTGAGTGAGTGGGACTAGTGAGAAATCTGGAGAAGGGACGGTTAAGATCAGGTGTCCAGCCATACCCTCCAGGTCTGACTATGCACCGGGTGTGCATTCCCCAGAACTCAGGCTCTCTCTTACCCCAGGGCCTTTGCACGTGCTGTTGCCTCTGCTTGGACTGTGCTTCCCCTGGCTGGCTTGAACTTCCCTCCTCAGAGATACCTCCTCTCATGAGCCTGCAACTAACATGTGTCCCCCCGTTCCCTGCACACAGTGAGCATCCCTCCTGGCACTCATTATGACTTGCAATCATTACAGCAATTTGGCAGTTTGGTTTTTGGTCTGCTTCCTCCAATAGGATGCTCGCAGCTTGGGCAGGGTCTTGGTCTTGTTCCCCACTGTACCCCCAGTGCGAAGACTGAGCCCCCAGCTCACCGCTCCTTGACGATGTGGTCAAGCTTGTAGTTGGGCTTATTGTCCTTCAGACGCTCCACGGTGTTCCACTCATTCTTCCCATAGGCCTTCCGGAGCTTCCGGACAAACACCTAGAAGGGAGGAAGAGACAGCTGATGCTGGGGCAGGGGCTCCTGGAGACCCCTTATCTGTAGAGGAGGGATTCGTGGGGCGGGAGGATTCTCAAAGCCCCTGAAGCTGTGTGGCTGTGCCACCTGCTCCCTCAGCCTAAGATTTGCAAAACGGCCAACTCTAAGGAACATCAAAACTGACTCCTGCTGATGAGCAGAGCCCGAGTAATGACATTCCAGTCGATGCAGAGCCCACATATACAACAGCGATCCCGTAAGATTATAACGGAGCTGAAAATTCCTATCCCCTGGTTGACGTCATAGCCATCGAACCGTCAGAGCACAATGCATTACTCGTGTGTTTGTAGTGATGCTGGTGTAAACACATCTACTGCCCTGCTAGTGGTATGAAAGTACACACACTATGTACAGGACGTATGACTTGGTAATGATAATAAAGGACTGTTACTGGTTTATGCATTTACTGTACTATACTTTTTATTGTTATTTTAAAGTGCACCGTTTCTACTCATAAAAGTAAAAAAAAAGTTTGCCGTAAAACCACATGCTGTGTTACGCTGGCAGCGGCCTCATACATCTCGCGTTCACTGCATCTCTTGACGGCATCGTGTTCTCTGGGGCTTGATTTAACCTCGGGTTGTTTTGTGTCGGTGCTGTTATGGATCTGTAGCCACGGAGCGAGAGGCTACCCCATAGAGCCTCGGTGTGGAGTAGGCTGTACCGTCTAGGTGTGTGTAAGTACACACTATGATGAAATCACCTAACGATGGGGCTATGTCTGAGAAATGCACTGTTAGGTGATCATGACTGTCGTTTTAAAACCCAGCAGCAGCCCAGCTGGTGTGGCCCAGTGATTGAGCGCTGACCTATGAACCTGGAGGTCACGGTTCGATTCCCAGTCAGGGCACATACCCGGGTTGCAGGCTCGATCCCCAGTGTGGGGAGTGCAGGAGGCAGCCGATCAATGATTCTCATCATTGATGTTTCTATCTCTCTCTCCCTCTCCCTTCCTCTCCGAAATCAATTAAAAATAAATATGTTAAACAACAACAACAAAACAGCAGCAAAACAGGGCCAGCCACCCACCTCGGTGGACTTGGCTGGACAGGTGGGCCAGCAACTAGCTGTGGCCACCAGGTGGCGCCCCACCCCCCCCCACGGAGGGCCTCAGCCTGGCCCTGCTTGTTTGGCAAAGGCTTCAGTTTCAGCTACTTTCGATTATTTGCATTTGGCATAAACAGGTTTCTACTTTCCCTGCGGTATTTCAGCACTTAATGGTTTCTACTTGTGGAATGAAAAGCTTGGTCTCCTGGGAGCAATTCCAGAAAGAACTGAGTAACAGTGGTGTCTTTGGGCAGAAAACGCTGAGAGCCCCTGAGATAGCGCGATCCTTGCCTCAGAGGCAGTAAATTCACTCTTTTCCCAAAGAACCACGGGAACAGTACAACAGGTAAAGCCTTAACCACTTGCCAGGTTCCGTGCAAATGATTTCCACACGAGATCTCAGTCAATCCTCGCACACTCCTCCCACAGGCTTACTCAGAGACCGACCAATCGGCCAAGGTCACAGCCGGCGGGTCCTAAGCTGCGACGGACCCATCCAGACAGACCCCCGAGCCCGGGCTTCACCTTGTATTCCCGGAACTTGTTGACGATGGGCTCATGGAGGAGGAACTTGATGTCCTTGATCAGGTAGAAAGTCCGGGCTGCCGTGGAGCCCTTGTTCACCTTCTTCTTGTGTTTGGGCTCGTGGGGATAGATGCCCTTCAGGATGCACAGCCGCCTGGAAGACAAAGGCCATTCCATCCGTCAGTAAACGTGCTGAGCACCCGCCACTCGGAGCCTGGGAAACAGCACCAAACAGGGAGCACGGGGCCTGCCCTTGCAGAACTCACATCCTAGGGAGGAGACTGGCAGTCACATGATGCAGACTGTCACAAGCCCCAGGGAGGAAACGATCAGGATGGCGAGAGGGGCCAGGTGGCAGGTACCGCTTTTGGCAAGAGGAGTCAGGAAAGGCCTTGCTGAGAAGCCAACCTTGCAGCCATACACAGTGGGAAGGGCATCCTGAGAAGGACCAAGGCTGTGAGGGTGGGAAATACTTCAGTTGGTGGCACACCTGAAGGACTAGAAGGGGGCCAGGCGGCAGGGCCTACAAGCCGTGCAGGAGTCTGGAGCTGACTCCACAAGGAGCTGAGAACCCCTCGCTGTAGGGCCAGGGGTCTCTTCTGCCAGAAGGAAGGAGGTGGGTGACAGACCCAGACAGAGAGCAGCGGTGTGTTGTACCAGTGGGCCCATCCTGATGACTCAGCGCAGCGTAACCCGGGTCTCCTCCGGCTTCCCCCACAGACCACACCTGGCAAAGCGTAGCTTACTAAAGCTAGGCCAGGTGAGAAAGAGGAGGGATACCAGCATTCCAGATGGAGTTTGTGGCAGCGCAGGGAAGACGGGGATGCAGCTGCGTTTCCTT